ATGCTTGTAGTTCATGTCATTTACTGTTACATGCTTGTAGTCCATGTCATTTACTGTTACATGTTTGTAGTTCATGTCATTTACTGTTACATGCTTGTAGTTCATGTCATTTACTGTTACATGCTTGTAGTTCATGTCATTTACAGTTACATGCTTGTAGTTCATGTCATTTACTGTTACATGCTTGTAGTCCATGTCATTTACTGTACATGCTGTAGTTCATGTCATTTACAGTTACATGTTTGTAGTCCATGTCATTACAGTTACAATGTTTGTAGTCCATGTCTAACCATTATGTTACTTTCATTGTTAGTTTTAAGGTAGCGGGACCTATTATTTGCATACTTGTTTTCATCTTCTAATTGTGACTAAATTGACTACAAATAGACCCGGGAAAGTATATATTTTTAGAATCGCCAGACTTCAAGCTTTTCACAAGTGTATTTTGCATGCCCGTATCTGCAATCTACGACGCGTCACTCAATCAAAGGTGAAAAATTACTTTTTCTGTAAAAAAAATAATTACGCATTTATGCTGGCGATAAGAAGTATTTTTTTCGCTTTTCCTAGTTGTTCAATAGTCTGGTAAATTGAATGTGTCTGGTTAGTCTTATTCAAGCAACGCGTTTTAAAAAAGAGTGTCCTGAATTTCAATTACTGTTTTAGTCGCATTGCCCCCAACTCAAACCACAACTCGTTGGTGAATAATCGATGAAATAGTTTGTTCGGACACATTCAAGTTCCTCTCATTGTCACCTTAAAGCGACGACAATAAGTATACGTTATTTTTTGTTAAAGACCTTGTATTTTGAAAAACATAAACTCCTAGAAAACGTCCATGAAGTAACAGCAAAAATTTTCAAGCTTGTTTATCGGCACAATCAATTTGTTTTCCCATCAAGGTCTGTTTTACCATGTGTAGGGACATCCAAATGTGTAAGGCTATTGGAAACCAAAAAATATAGGAATGGGATAGCTATAATTGGATAAATTCGCATATGAAAACACCAAAATCAATGATTTTTTTTCAGTGGCTGTGTGACCTTGTGTCTGACACATTCATATGCAAATGACTAATCTGTGAAACAAACAGGGGCGGAGACAAACCACTCAAATGTTTGGAAACACTCATTGTGTGTCAGATAGCTACTGATAACACATCCTAACATTGCTTTGTCTTGAGTTTATCTTTGAAACTTATAGGCACACAGATTAAACCTGTGTTGTTGATTTTGGAAAACACTACTGAGGCTGCCTTGCTTCCCTTCTGAAAATCTATATTTTAACCAACTTACATGACATTCTATGTTATATTGACTTTATCATATGAAAGTTTATGGTGCATTTCATCAATTAATAAATAAATGTGAAAATCGTAATTTTCAACACAAATAATAGTCTCGCTACCTTAACATAAAGTA